TCAAATCACCATATATCATGTCATATATATCAAATCACTATATCATATATATCAAATCACTGTGTATGATATATATAAAATCACCATATACGATATCATATATCAGATATCCATATCATATATATCAAATCTCCATATATTATATATAATCAAATCTCCATATATATATCAAATCATCATTTGTGATATCATATATATTAAATCTTCATATCATATATACCAAATCACTATGTATATTATATATATAATCAAATCTCCATATAATATATATGAAATCATCATTTGTGATATCATATATATTAAATCTCCATATCATATATATCAAATCACTATATATGATATCATATATCAAATCTCCATATCATATATATCAAATCACTATATATGATATCATATATCAAATCTCCATATCATATATATCAAATCACCAAATATATATTATATATATAAAATATCCATATCATAGATATCAAATCACCATATATGATCATATATATAAAATCACATATATGATATCATACATATCAAATCACCATGTATGATATCATATATGTGTATATATATAGTGTGCATATATATATATATATATATATATATATATATATAAAATCTCCATATCATGTATAGCAAATCACTGTACTGGTCATATAAACACTTAGGTCCTTTCATTTACTACCTTGTATAACCTTGGACAAATCACGTCTCCTTTCTGGACTCAGTTTACTTATTCTGTAAAATAAGGGGTTGGGGTAGGGAGGCATAGACTAGATCATCTCTAAGGGCCCTGTAAGTACTAAGTAAATGATTTTATGACTTCCAAGACAACCCACCCTCGTTTTGGACAGTTTTGTTGAGGGTAGAGAGCTGGTTCTAGAGTCAGAATGAGCTGGTTCAAGTTCTACCCCTAACACATACTGGCTCTGTGACCCTGGGCAGGTTACTTACCCTGTCAGAACCCTAAGACTGTAAGATGCAGAGTTGTTACTGACCTGCATTGGTAGAGGGAGAGTCCTCCCTGGGAGTTCCCCTCACCAATTAAATCACAGGTCTTTTCACTACCCCCATCAGATTGCCAAGGAGTTTTTTCTAACCTCATGCCAAGATTACTCTATGTAATTTCTACTCATTGCTTTAGTTTTCATTTTTTTAACCATGGGGACAAACAGTGTGGCTCTAATTGTTCATCTACAGGAAAAACACCCAAGTGCTAGACGAGAGTCATTGAGTCCCTCCTAACTTTTCTCCTCCCCCGGCTACATATCCACCGATCCTCCTGTAGTGGTCTTCTACCATCTTGGACAGCTTCTACCTTATCAATGTCTTTTCTAAAATATGCTGTATAGAACTGAATGAAATGTTCCAGGGCAGAACACCTCCCTGGCAGGTAGATGGTACCATAGTGCATAGAACTCTGGACCTAGAGTCAGGGGATCCAAATTCAAATCTAACCTCAGACACTTATTAGCTGTGTGACTCTGGGCAAATCACTTAACTCTGCTGGCCTCAGTTTCCTCATCTATAAAATGAGCTGGAGAAAGAAATGGCAAACCACTCCAGTATCTTTGTCAAGAAAACCTCAAATGGGGTCACAAAGAGTCAGACACGACTGAAAAACCACTGGACAATAATCATCTCCTTACTCTCAAACTTTGTGCCTACCTTCCCTGCCATTATATATGTGTGTGTGTGTGTGTGTGTAAAACTGATTTTTGAATCTCAGTTTAAGATACATTCTCTTAAATTCTCTGGATCTTAGTTTCCTCATCTGCAAAATGAAGAGGTTAGGGTAGGGATAGCACTCTAAGGACTCAGACTATATATTATACAGTAGCAGTTATCAAAACTCTTTGATACAAGCTAAAAAACAGAAAAGTAGATCAGTAGATATCAGTAGATATCACTACCAGTAGATAAGAAATCAATCAATCAATCAATAAAAATTATTAGTACCTACTATGTGCCTGTGCTAGAAGGCAAAAAACATAAGCAATCAACAACAGTGGTTCAGTGTTTGATAAATCAGAGAATAAAAGGAAAGAAACTCCTTTTCTAATGAGAACAACTAGGAAAACTGAAAAGACCGCCATCTTACCCCAATACAACAATGAACTCAAAATGGATACGTGACTGTATTCAAAGGTCACACCATTGGAAAAAAAATAGATGGAAAAATGATCAGTTTTATTTCACAACTATAAGTAGGAAGAAAATTCTTAACCAAGCAAGGGAGATATATAGATACAGATGTGGTTTTCATTAAATAAAATAAAGACAAAAATAAGAGGAAAACAATAAAGTAGGGAAAATATTTACACCAAATATCACCAATAAGTATCTGATATCCAAAATATATAGGGAATGATCACAAGTGTACAGTCCCAAGAGCTGTTTTCCTAAGAGATGATAAATGGTCAAAGAATATGAATGAAAGAATTTCAAACTACAAATAACCTCTTGTGAAAACATGCTCCAAATCACTAATAGTATGAAAAGTACAAATTAAAACAAGTCTGAGGTTTCATCTCAGACCCTGCAAATAGGCGAAGATTGCAGAAGGTGGGAAAAGTTCATGTCAGAGGGGCTGAGGAAGACAGGCACTCAAATATGTGATGCTTTTGGTGATTTAGTCCAACCATTATGAAAGTTAATTTTGGAATGATGAAAAACCAAGGACTGGATTGTTCATACCCTTTGACCCTGTGATCTCTTTTGCTGGAACATATATCTCCAAGAAACTCAAAGACAAAAAAAAATTCTATACGTTCCCCCCCCCCCCAAAAAAATCAAAGCAGCATTCTTTGTGGTGCTGAAAAACTTGAACCACAAGGGGATATCCACTGATTAGGGAATGGCTAGAAAAAATATGGCATGCTAAGTTAATGGCATATTATCTAGCAGTAAGAAATAACAAGATGAAGAAGATTTGTGCAAACTGATGAAGACTGCCCTAAGCACAATAAGGAGAACAGCATTTACAGTGACCACAACGATGTAAATGAAGAGATTACAAACAAGAAGTTGAATTCTTATTAATGGAAAATCCAGTGAAGGTCCCAGAGAAGAGATAAGGAAGCATGCCTCCTCCCTCTTGAAAGAGAGATGAGAGAGGAGGACAAAGTCTCCTACAGATTGTCAGATCAAAGATTACAGGCAGGATAGAAGGAAGAATCCCAGGATCATAGATCCAGGGCAGGAAGGGTCCTTAGAGGCCATTTAGATCAAGTTAACCCCTTCATTTTACAGATATGTAAACTGAGGCCCAGAGAGGGTGGGGAAGTAACTTGTCCAAGGTCATATGTGTAGGAAGTGTCACAGTCAGGAATTCAGCCTAAGACTTTCCTTCTTCAGGCTAAACATTTCCAGACTTTTCAACTATTCTTCATAAGATGTGGACTAGAGACGCCCTTCACTATCCTGACTTGCCCTCCCCTGGATACTTGCCTACTTATGATGACCCTCTGAAATGTGATGCCCTACCTACCTCACAGGCTTGTGAGGTTCAAATGTGAGGTTCAAAGTGATTTGAAAGCTATTCAAAGATACTTAACTATGTGATTATTTTTACATCCTCATCTTCTTCTTTAACTTCAGGCTTTGCCATTAACCATGAGCAAATGATTTCCCCTCTCTTGGTCTCAAAGAACCAGGGGTTCTTAATCTGCTTTTGTTGTTGTTATTGTTTTCTTTTTCTTTCTTTCTTTCTTTCTTTTTTATCATGGACCCCTTTGGCAGTCTGATGAAGTTTTGGACCCTTTCTTAAAATCATGTTTTTAAGTGCATCAAATACTTAGGATTACAAAGGAAACCAATTATATTGAAATTGATATTAAAATTTTTTTAATTAAAAAAAACAAAACAGTTCCCGGACCCCAAGTTAAAAGCCCCTTCTCTGGTCCTATGACTATTCTATGACCATTCTAGTCTTTGAATGCTTGAAGAAATTATGTTCCCTTCCAGTTCTAACAGATTATGAGCCCTGGAGCTGGAACTGGTTGGGGCTACCCCAGAGCACATTGCATTTGGCCCAAACAAGCACCCTTTGCTTTGTTAACACCACTCCTGCAGTGGCTCAGGTCTTATGTTTATTCCCTGACCTTAAGTCAAATGGGTCGTAAGGAAACTAAAGGCCTCAATGCCTACAAAGCTGAAACAGTAAATTCTAGTAGCAGATGGGGCTTTACAAGTAATTTTATCTAAACTCCTCATTTGGTAGAGGAAGTCAAAACCCATAGAGATTAAGTGATTTGCTCAATGTCACATACGTAGCATATTGAACCCGGGTTTTCTGACTTCAAACCCAGTGCTTTATGCACTGCACCACGATGCCACCTCAAGTTCTAACTGCCTTTTTTTCAACCCAGCCCCACAATGTCAAGACACTGGAGCACATAAACACTCTTCCCAGGAAGGCACATTGCTTCCCACTAATTAACTGCCTACTTTTTAATTTGGCCCTACAGAGGCAGGATCCAGGCTTGGGTAAACATCTTCTCCCCTGAACAAATGTCCTTTTTCATACTTACTCAACACATTATTTCATAGGTGTAATGAGTCAGACTCAAACATGTATCAGGTCCAAAATAAAGAATATAGGCTCAGCAGCTCATTAGAGAAACAATCTACTCCCATACCCGGTATAACAATGCGAGATTAATTCCGTTCAGGCCATCAGATAAGTTAATTATAATTTAAATTTGGTGTCGACCACACTTCACAAGGCACAGACAACGTGCAGAAAAATAGAACCAAGTTATCCTCCTTGCCTGCTTTTAAATCTGTCTTTACTTGAAGGGCATGAGGAGTGGACCGATGTGAGTGAGAGGGAGATGAATTCTTAGGAAATAAGATTTTAAAGCCCAGGGCTTAGGTTGGTGATTCCATTTCTGTGCCTTTTCTAGGTTGTCCACATTTCATGGGGCATTAAGAGGCCTCAGATGTCACTGCACCTTAGCTCTCCAGAAGGAAGAGATGTTAAAAGAAAAATATATATATGTTCCTACCTGAATTCTTCATCTCTGATCTGAAAGAGAAACAGAAAGAAAAACCGCCAGGGTCAGGATTGCATCAGAAGACATAGTCCTGTTTTATTCTTCTCTCCCTCTATTGCCTTCCCCCTCCCCACCATCAATCAATTAACGTTTATTAAACACCTACTATGTGCCAAGTACTCTGCTACGGGCTTCCCTTGTGACAAGAGAATGAGAGGACACTTAATACATCAAAGATATCCACTGCAGTGCTCAGGGGGCTGAGGGATAGGCTAATAAACATGTCTGAGCTGCTCATTGATGGCGAGACTTTTCCTTCATAGCCTGGCCCCTTCCCACTTTTCCAGTCAGCTTACTCCTTAAAGAGCCACTCCATCCCCAATTTCCTCTTCCATCTAGTGACCTTGGCCTCCTGGCTGTTCCTAGAGTGAGAAACTCCATCTCCTGATTGCAGGCATTTTCTCTGGCCATCCCCCATGCATGGACTGCTCTCCCTCCTCATCTCTGCCTCTTTGCTTCTTTCAAGTCCCAGCTCAAATCCCTCCTTCTCCAGGAAGTCTTTCCTCATCCCCCTTAGGGCTGGGGCCTTCCCTCTGTTGATCATTTCCAATTTATCCTGGATACATCTTGTTTGTTCATAGATGTTTTCATGTTATCTCCCCCACTAGACTGGGAGTTCCTTGAGAGCCGGGGTTGTCTTCTGCCTTTCTTTGTATCCCCATCACTTAGTACAGTGCCTGGCACATAGTAGGCACCTAATCCATGTTTGTTGACTGATTGCCCAAATGACCAGACCTAGCAGAGAGACAAGGAGGAGATGGCGCTAAATGCCAGTCCTTGCCTTATCATTTCAGAGGCTCGTAGTGTTTAGTAGTTGCCCAACTCAAAGAGTGGTCAACTATTCTCCTCGAAGATTCATTCCCTTCCCTGTCTAGCATGTTCTCCCCAAACTCCAACCAATCAGCTCTCGAAGCCTAGGCATAAGCATTGGAACAGGCGTAGAGCAACCTGGGTTCTCACCCACACGAAGGATTGGGAGACACGGAACAAGCCCTCGCATCCTACAAGCCCTGTTGCAGTGTGTCATTTGTTCTCCAAGAGGACCAGTGATGTCACCAGAGGGATGGCAGAATCATGGATTGGAGCTGGAAGAGGCCTTAGAGTCCAACCCACCTCGGTTCATGGGTGAGCGAAAAATAATAGTAATAACAGCTACTATAATAGGGCCTAGCATTTTATAAATATTTTCTCATTTCTTCCTCACAACAGCCCTGGGAGGTAGGTGCTATTATTATCATCCTCATTTTGCAGACGAAGAAACTGGGGTTTAGTGACTTGCCCCGCGCCGCTGCACGTAAATGTCTCAGGGTGGACTTGAGCTCAGGTCTTCTTGACTTCAAGCCAGGGCTGTGTCCACTGTACCACCTCCCTCCCTGCTCCTTGGTTGTAGAGTAAGGGTAGCAGGATTAGGTGATTGCAAAGGGGACTTCCAGTTCTAGCATTCTATTTCTCCAAAATCAGAATTCAATTCCATCCAAGCCAATCCAGTCCAATTCAATTCAGTTAGTAGCCATTTATTAAACACCTACTATGTCCCAGGCACTGAGTTAGGTGCTGAGGATAAAAACTAAAATTGAAGTAGTCTCTACCCTCAAAGAGCTAATATTCTACCAGGAGAAAAAACAATTTTAAAAATTCAATTCAGTTTTAAAAAGATTAAGTTCCTACTGTGTATAAAAAATGTAGTAGGCACTAGGGATACAAAGATGAAATGAAAAATTGACCCTGCTTTCATTGATCTAAGAGTTTATATTCTATCACAGGAGAAAACAACTTTTAAAATTCAATTCAGTTAAAAAAAATTACGTGCCTACTGTATACAAAGAAAGTAAGCACTAGTAAGCACTAGCAGTCCAAAGATGAAATCAAACACTGTCTTTGATGTGGGAGAGAAGGCATGTACAGAAACAACTGTAAGTTAAAATATAATCAGTGTTTGGGAGAGGCCCTAGTAAGAGCTAGGGATTTAGCTCTGTAAATGCTAACATCATCTCGGCCTGCATTCATTAAAATAATAACTGACATTTGTACAGTGCTAGAAAGTGTACAAAGCACTTGACATTCATCCTCATATTTGAGTGTCTCAAAGGCCCTGTAATAGTGGTTAGCATTTATTCAGTGCCTTCTATATACCAGGCATTCTGCTAAGCACTTTAAAGATTATCTCATTTGAGCCTTACAACAATCCTGCGAAGTAGGTGCTACTATTACTTCCATTTTACAGTTCAGGAAATTGAGACAAACAGACTTGAAATGACTTGCCCAGGGTCACACGACTGATGTTGTCTGAGTGTCTGAGGCTACATTTGAACTCAGGTCTCACTAAATCTAGGCCCAACCTTCTATCTACTGCACCCCTTACAGCCTCCAGTAGGTATTGGTTATATCAAACCCATTTTACAGATGAAGAAGGTATCAGTGACTTGCCCAGAGTTATGGATATTCCAACTGTAGCATTCGGCACACTATGTTACGCTCCCTCTTTAAGAGAGTCCTAGTGTCCAGTATGAGGAAGGGGAGAAGTTCACCATAATCTGGCAGGATCAATAAGGAAGGATCTTCCTGGAAGAGGTTCTCGTGTGCTGGGTAGATAACTCATTATTATTAGAGATGTTATGCAAGTCAGACTGGATGGCTTCTTGAGACCCCGTCCAACTCCTGTTCTGTGTTTCTGTGATCTGATCGTGTCACGTCTGGAGTATAGGTAGTATATTTGAAGAAGGATGTTAACAAGGTGGAACATGTCCAGAGGTGGATGACCAGGATGCTGAAAAAAATGGAGGCCAGGCAATGAAGGGAAGGGACAGGAAGGGAAAGGATAGGTAGGGGAAGGGCAGGCAAGGAAAAGTAAGGAAAGGAAAGGGAAAAGAAAAGGGAAAGGGAAAAGAAAAAGGAAAGAGAAGGGAAGGAAAAAGGGAAGGGAAGACAAGGCAAGGCGAGGCAAGATTTGGTGGGGACATGGCAGTTGCCTTCAATTATCCGCAGGGACATCAGACTTTTTGGCCCCAGAGAGTGGAATGAAGGGCACTGGGTATAAGCTGCTAAAAGGCTGACTTCAGCTTTCCTAACAATTAGAACCCTGTCCCAAAGTAAACTAGGGGTAGGTCTTCTCTACCAAAAGTTTTTAAGCCAAGGCTGTTAGGTTTATTTTAGACAAGTTGCTCAGGAGGTCCCACCTCCTGAGAGGGAGGTGATGAACTCGGGGCAGAATGGCATATATTTTTAAAACATGAGCAATGTGGGGATTTGTTTTGTTTGACTCTGCATATTTGTTACAAGGGTTTACTTTTTCTTTTTCAATGCTAGGTGGGGAAGAAGATGGATAAAAAAGAGTATAGATTTTTGCTAATCGGAAAAAAAGTAAATTTTTAAATAAACAAAAATAAGGAATGCTATTTCAGGGATAAGATGAACTAGATAACCTCTAGTCTTTTGCAACTCTGAAAGGTTATGCTTTAAGGAAGAAGGAAACATTTCTATAAAATAGTGGCTTTTCTCTTTCTCTATCCCTTAAAAAAAATCCATCCCGAACTGTGGTTATTATTTTTTCCAGCAGTCCACTCTCAGTACTTTCAATTATCACATCGGATTCTCTTGGGGCTCCAAAGTGATTACATGAGCTTCTCTCTTGGGATCCTTTCCTGAGAGAGATTTTTCATCTAGCTCTCCAGTCTTACCCTGGAGGAGCTCAGCCATCCGCTTGGGTGGGTGACAAAGCGTCCTTCATTTCCTCCATCTGGGCTACACAAGATGAGCGGGTCTGAAGACAGCATGCCCCCCCCCACCCCTCCTTCTCCGAATGTGGGTAGTTCACCAAGGACAAAAAACAAAGGTTAGGCTTTTTCCTAGCATTCAGGTCTAAGACCAAAAGAACAGCTCACTCAGAAAATAAACAACTCCCAAACTCTTGTGGTTAGCACTATAAATAGTTGGCAAGCTGGAAATTAGAGTGGAAAGAGGCCACTAGGAAGGTAGTTATCAGGGACAATCTCAACAGACTGATAATCTCCAACAGGGGAGAAAGATGGAATTGACCCAACTCTTATAAGACAGAAAGTAGAGAGTTGGAGGCAGGATATAGAAGCTCCCTGAGGGCAAGAAGGGTTTCACTTTTGTCTACGTATTCCAAAGATATAGTATGGTGCCTGGTAGGAATAGGGACTATACCCGTGACTTCTCTGGTATAGGGAACTCTCAGATACAGAAACACTTTGTGTTAATGCAGGTTGGCACCTTCTCTTAGGCTTAAGAATCTTAGAGAGTCTTCCAGAGGAAAGGTACCAAACTCATTGCCCAGGGGCCACATTGGCCTGCAACACTCCTCAGTATAGACACAACTAGATTAAATTGTAATTTGGAACAAAATAAATAAATAATACAATAGAACATAGGAAATGTTAATTTGTGAGCTTCTAAGTCAATGTGGCCCACAGGGATCTTTACCTATGGCTTGGTGGCCCTGTTCCTATTTGAATTTGATTCGACTGGTCCAGATCATTGATCTGCCCAGTGTCCAATAGCCAGGTGTATCAGAAGCGTGACTCTGGTCTTTCTGATTCCAATTCCAAATAAACCCCATTGCCTCTCAGCACATAGTAGGTATTTGATTGCTGGTTTATCGATTGCTTAGAAGCGTCCTTCGAATTTTAATGGGAACGTCTTATGAGAAATTAATTGAGCAAGAGGCCATTACATCACCCACAAATACCATGACTATCGATGATGTTGTTAAAACTCAACACAAGGTTTCAATCATCTGAATTGTTTAAACATACGGTTGCCATGGAGAACAGCCGATAACCTTATAGAAGTTTCTCTGTTTAGACCGGGACACGTCCTCTTTACGGACAGGCTTTTCCATTTCCTTGGGGATTTATCAATAATGACTTCTGCAGAAAGGGTCAGGGATGGGGCACAAAGGTTTACTTGACTTCTATGTGTTTCTGTTGTTTGTTTGCTAGAACTCCTTCTG